GAAGTTGGACGCGGCAGAGGTGGCGATGAATGACATGGCGGTACCAGAAGAGGCGGAGGAGCTGCCCACGGCAGTGACAGAACTGGAGGAGGAGGCGGCGACGGCCCTGCCTAAGAAGAAGGGGCGTTCGCGGAAGTTGGACGTGGCAGAGGTGGCGATGAATGACATGGCGGTACCAGAAGAGGCGGAGGAGCTGCCCACGGCAGTGACGGAACTGGAGGAGGCGGCGGCGACGGCCCTGCCCAAGAAGAAGGGGCGTTCGCGGAAGTTGGACGCGGCGGCGCTTAAGAAGGGTGGAAGCGGCAAAAAGCAAAAACTCTCGAAAAAGGCCCTGAGAGAAGCAAAGAAGAGGGCCAAGGAAGAAAAGAGGAAGCAAGCAATGAAAAAGAAGGGGCAGGTTGATGAGAACGTGATGGAGGCGATGAATGCCGAGGCAACTTCTCTTGAGGAGGTTGCAAAGGGAGCAAGGAGTGCTGGATGCACCGCTTGTAAATATACGGTCTCACTCAGAGTTGGCGGCGGAGGTGGGGAATAAAAAGAGGCCCAAGAAGACGGTAGAAACGCCGCCAGTAACAGCTGCTGCTGCAGTTGAAGAGGTCCAGGCAGATACTAACAAGGCTCCACCGGTGTCCGCGGTTGAGCTTAAGAACGCCCCTCCACTTACCTTTGAAAACGCGGTCACTCTAGATCGATTCGACGGCTCGCACATGGAGCTTCGTCGCCCGGATTTGAAAACGCCATGGGACGTGAAAGTCTTTTTGGACGCAGGCAACTTGGTCTTGACGCGTCTCCCACCCATTTCGGCTGCTCTAAAGACACATCCGTTTTTTAAGTCGCTGCGACCTGACGTTGATGGCAGCATCCGCTGGCTCGTGGATGGGGTGAACGGGACGGACCTCACGGCGGCAAACAAGACGCTGCGAGCAAAGGCACTGGATTCTATTAGAAAGGCGAATAAAATCACACTTCTCCTTAGGCCGGTTGCAAAGTGACCCTTTGCCTCTTCTTGCTGTGCCCCTCCCTGGCCCGTGAAGATTGGAGAGAGTGATGAGAAGGACGCAATTTCCCATCTCTATCGTGTGCGCGCGCCCTCCTCACCAAGGTCGGCCTTTTCACGCCGCTTACGTCATAGAGGACAATTTCTCTCAGCTCTCTTTCTAGTGTTGTTGTTGTTGTTTTTTCTTTTCTTTTTTTCCTTATGCCTGTTTTGTGCGTGTGTGTGTCTGCGCACCGATTTGAGAGCACGTCCTCTTATCTTGGTGCATTCCTGTGTAGGGACGGAAGGAAGGAGGCAGACACGGATAGAAGTTGTTTTTGTTTGTTTGTCAGAGCATACGATAAGTGGGGAAGAGGAGGGGAAATGGGAGAGACTCATAGAAAGAAGAAGAGGGAGCAGGTTGCTGTGAAGGCGGTGCTGTTGCTGTTCATTTCCTGTGTTTTGGAGTTTGTCACATCGCGCGCTTCCCGACTGGACGGAGCTTCTTTTTTTAAGCCTCGCACACGCTGGCACACACCAAATATATATGCGTCGCTTCAAATCAGGGAAAATTCTCTTCTTCAACAGCTTTTCAAATAGAATGTTGTTTTTTTTTTTGCTTTTATTGGTTTTGATTTTGGTTTTATTGGGAGTATATGATTATTTTTTTTCTCGATACTGTGAGTGCGTGTGTTTTTTTACCCCCGCGCTTAATCGTCTACGGCCCGCCAGGTAAAGCAAGCACACCCCCATCCGCCCCACGAGGGGAGAGGCATTGAGGAAAAGGAAAAATAAGGGAAAGCAAAGGGCTATAAGCTTGGTCAAGGCGGCAGCAGCGGCCAACACAGACAGGGGGCCGAAGAAATTTATTCTCCGCCCGCGCCGACATGGCGGAAAGAGAACTCGTGGCGGACATGCGGGCTTTGCTGGCTGCAATGGAGGGCCAAGGGCCGGGCCCAGCCGAATGCGGGACAGCGGGGGCGGCGACGGAGAGAAAGCTCCGGACAACATTGCCAACACTAGAAGACAAGCTTGGGCAGTTACTGGGGGCGTTGCGGTCAAACGGCGCCGACGAGTGGGCGGGGAAGCCTGCACAAGAGGATTTGGGTATGCAGTTTTTTCTGCAACCCGACGAGGTCGTTGACCGCGACGAGGCGGAACAGCGAACATCCCAAGGCGAGGGCGACGGTATCGACGGCCTCATGCGCGAGTACCTCGGCGCGGTCGAGCGGGTTTGGCGCCTCGGCGAGCCGGCCCCAAAATAGCGGGCCTCAGCCGCTCTCGCGAGTTCCCCCGCTTTTCGTTATTGTTGTTTTCTTCTTCTTGTTGTCCCTCTGTTTTGCCGCCGTTCCGCCGCGCGCTGAAGGCGCCAGGAGGATGCCGATGGACGCCCAAAACGGCTGAGTCGCCGAATCAACCGTCCCGCGCTTCTCCCCTTCTCCTGCCGCAACGCCAAGGAAGGGACACAAAGGAAAAGGGCCGCAGAGGACGGGCGGCGGGGCGCGCGACCTTCCGCGGCGCCCCGAGTCTTTTTCTTTTCCCGAGGCGGCCCCGCGCGGCCGCTCCTCTGCGGCGCGCCGAGGGCGGCGGGAACGCCCGTCACCCCCCCCCTTTTTTTTTTATCCCCCTCATGGCCGGACGCGGCGGGACCCGCAACGATTCTCCGGCGGGGCGTTGCCGACAATGCTGCCGTTTGCCGTCCCCACCCCCGCTCTTCTGGTGGCACGCTCGCCCTCAGGGTTTCAAGGCTGGCCGACGGATGAGATTATATATGCATGTATACGTGGCCTCCTTTGTGTTGTCCCGGCCAGCATATTTTTTTTTGTCTGGTATTAGTCGTGGTAATTTTCGCATTCCAAGCATGGAATATGCAGCGGGGTTTCATTATTATTATTAATTAACTAATGTACATAAGGCAGCTGTTTATTCTTACTTGGTTGTATACTTGCTTTTATTCCCTCAGCTTTACCTTATCCATGCTCTCTTGTAATCATTTACGCCGTGGCTTAATGAGATTCCTTTGCGGCCCCCCCAAACTCGTAGTTATGGCTTTGTAAGCTGCCGCTGGGCGATGAATGCTCACGTCACATGCCTTGAACATTGGTGGTGTTACTGGGTGTGTGAGTGTTATTCCGTCATTGGCTTTTTTTTATTCAAATGTATATATTGCTCTTCTTCTATGCCGGTTTCTATGTGTAAACAATGAAAAAACCGTTTGCTTTTTCCTTTTTTTTTACACATTGTACTATGCGCAAAATGCAAATATCCTAAATAGCATCCTACAAGGGCAGTATGGCGTCTAACATCACCCAGGAGCGCTACGAGCAGCTGAAGAAGGAGCGTACTTTCCACAAGTTCACGTACCGCGGCCTCGAGATTGACCCACTGTTGGCCCTCTCTGAGGAGGAGTTCAAAACCCTGGTTCATGCCCGCGCCCGTCGTCACATGAACCGCCACGCCAACATTCGTGCCCCCGTGCTGCTGAAGCGTCTGCGCGAGGCGAAGAAGGATGTGAAGGCGGGCGAGAAGCCAAGGGCCGTGAAGACGCACCTTCGCGATGTCGTCATCACACCCGAAATGGTGGGCTCTGTGGTCGGTATCTACAACGGCCGTC